TTCCTTCCGCTCTTCCGATCTTCCTTCCTTCCTTCCTTCCTTCCTTCCTTCCTTCTTTCCTTCCTTCCTTCCTTCTTTCTGCTTCCATCCTTCCATTTCCTTCTTTCCTTCTCTCTTTCTTTCTCTTTCTTCATTCTCTATCTCCTTCCTTCCTTCCTTTGCTTTTTGCTTCCATTCTTCCTTCTCTTTCCTTTTCTCCTTCTTTCTCTCTCTCTCTTCCTTTTTTCCTTCTTTCTCTTTCCTTCTTTCCCTTTTCTCTTTCCTTCTCTCCTTCTTTTCCCTCTTCTCTCTTCCTCCTTTTTCTTTCCTTCTCTCCTTCCTTCTTCTCCTCTTCTCTCCTTCCTTCTTTTTCTTTTCCTTCTTCCTTCCTTCATTCGCTCTTTGCTTTCATGCTTCCTTCTCTCTCTCTCTCTCTCTCTCTCTCTCTCTCTTTTTCTTTCTCTCCTTCCTTCCCTCCCTTTTCCTTCCTGTTTTCCCCCCTGTACCATCATTTAGCTTTTCGTCATTTAGCCAAATTTGGTGTCAATTCACCCAGTGGTTTTTGAGTTATGTTAATCCCTTCCTTCATTTCCGCTTTCCTTCCTTCCCGTCTTTCCTTCTCTTTTTCCTTCCTTCTCTATCTCTTTCCTTCCTTCCCCCTTTTTCTTTCTCTCCTGTCTCTTTTCTTCCTTCTCTTCCTTCTTTCCTTCCCTCCCTCTTTCTCTACATCTTCCCCCTTCCTTCGCTCCCTCTTTCCTTTCCTTCTTTCCCTTTCTTTCCCTTCTCTCCTTCCTTCTCTAACTTTCCTTCCTTCCCCCTTTTTCTTTCCCTCCCTTTCTCTCCTTTCTTCCTTCTCTCTTTGCTTCCATGCTTCCTTCTCTCTTTCCTTCTTTCTTTCTTTCCCTCCCTTTTTTTCTGTATTGTCATTTAGCTTTTTGTCATTTACTTTTGGGGTCTTTTAAAATGTCTTCTACTGTGTTTTTCAGTGTTTTTATGAGTGAAGGACATTCATTGGACTGTTAGGTGTCTTGTGTCCAAATTTGGTGTCAATTCCCCCAGTGGTTTTTGAGTTCTGTTAATCCCACAAACGAACATCACGTTTTCATTTATATAGACTAGCGGTCCCCTGCCAGGCGTTGCTGTGGCCCAGTCTGGTGATCTGGGAAAAAGTGTTGGTTTCTAATGTCTTGATGCTTGTGGGTAAACAGTAATTGTTGCTGTTTCTTTGTCAGTGTTGATGTGGAGAGTGTCTGGTTTGCCTACTCTGGAACATGCAACATATAATAGTCCTTTTTAAGGGGTTCCTTTGAAATCTATAATACTATATATCTCTCTGTGTGAATCATATCTGTCTATATGGCTGGATGGCTCTTTGTTAGGAGGGCTTTGATTATGTTTTCTTGCCCTGGTGAAGGAAGTTGGACTGGATGACCTTAAGTATGGGGATTCTGTGTGGGAAGTTGGCCCCAAATCTGTCGTTGGTGGGGTTCAGCATTACTGGGATTTATAGGTGACCTATGAATCCCAGTAACTACAACTCCCAAATGTCAAGGTCTATTTCTCCAATCTCCAGCTGTGTTCATATTCAGGCGAATTGAGAACTTGTGCCAAGTTTGGTCCAGATCCATCATTGTTTGAGTCCACAGTGCTCTCTGAATATAGGTGAACTACAACTCCCAAACCCAAGGTCAATACCCACCAAACCCTTCTAGTGTTTTCTGTTGGTCATGGGAGTCCTGTGTGTCATGTTTGGTTCAATTCCATCATTGGTGGAGTTCAGAATGCACTTTGATTGTAGGTGAACTATAAATCCCAGTAAGTACAACTCCCAAATGATAAAATTAGTGATGGTCACTCCTTGGGTTAGTAGGTGTCTTGTGGCCTAATTTGGCAGCAATTTGTCCAGTAGTTTTTGAGTTATGTTAATCCCACAAACGAACATTACATTTTTATTTATATAGATTATCAATTTAATCATTCAGCATGTGTTGCAATGAACATACTAAATGCTCCTGACTGGCTGACAGTCTTCACTGGGACATTTTGGGGGTAATAATAATAATATCTTTATTTATATCCTGTTTTTCTCCCTAAATGGGACCCAAAGGGGCTTATATTAAAATTATGCTAGGGCTTATTTTCTGGTTAGGTCTTATATTTGGGGAAACAAGAGAATAACTGCAGGGGCTTGTCTTTCTCAGGCATTGCTGGCGATGAAGTTGTCAAGATTGTTGTGATCCCATTTGGAGAGATGGATCAGGAAAGCGGGCCAGAAATGGCCGAGGTTTCACCGGGAAGTGAAAAGATGCAGTCGGATGTCTGTGAGCAACAAGCAGAAGGTCATCAGGACGGAAAAGCATCTTCGTCAATAGAGCTTCCTGGAGATAATAAAGAGGAAACACCGAGCTCTGAAGGTATATTTAGCAATATTTGTATTTCATAATTAATCCTCACACTGATATATATGATTGCTCACATGAATCTAAAATCAGTGCTGGATTCCTTCTTCCTTTGCTTCCTTTCCTTCTTTCTTTTGTGATATGTCTACATAGGATAGGATGAGAAAGGTTATTTTGCAGGAAAAGTCAGGTTTGCAAAGTTCTTTGTTGTCTTATTCATTATCTTGACTTCGGAATGACAATTAAAGACCCATCTCTTCCAGTCAATTTTAAGTTGTGAATTTTTATCTGCTTTTCATCAATGGATTTTAAGCTGTTTTGTGTGTGTTTAAAAGTGTTTTATCTCTTGTTTTAATGATGTTGTACCCCAAGCCACAGGGAGATGTGGGTAATGAAATTATTATTATTATTATTATTATTATTATTATTATTATTATTATTATTATTATTTGACTAGCCATCCCTTGCCACACGTTGCTGTGGCCCAGTCTGGTGATCTGGAAAATAAAGTAATGACAAAGTGTTGGTTTCTAATATATTTAATTTCTTTATGCTTGTGGGTGAACAGTATTTCTTGCTGTTTCCTTGTCAGTGTTGATGTCAAGATTGTCTGGTTTGCCTACTCTGGAACAGGCAACATATAATTGTCCTTCTTTAGGGGTCCTTTTCAAATCTATGATACTCTATCTCTGTGTGTGTGTGAATCATATCTATCTATCTATATCTATCTATCTATCTATGGCTGGATGGCTCTTTGTCAGGAGGACTTTGATTATGTTTTCTTGCCCTGATAAAAGAAGTTGGATTTTCTGATGGTCATGGGGGTTCTGTGTGGGAAGTTTGCCCCAATTCTGTTGTTCATGGGGTTCAGATTGCTCTTTGATTGTGGGTGAACTGTGACTACAACTCCCATCTGTGTTCATATTTGGGCGAATTGAGAGCTTGTACCAAGTTTGGTCCAGATCCATCATTGTTTGAGTCCACAGTGCTCTCTGGATGTAGGTGAATTACAACTCCCAAACTCAAGGTCAATGCCCACCAAACCTTTCCGGTATTTTCTGTTGGCCGTGGGAGTTCTGTGTGCCAAGTTTGGTTCAATTCCATCGTTGGTGGAGTTCAGAATGCTCTTTGATTGTAGGTGAACTATAAATCCCAGTAACTACAACTCCTAAATGTCAAGGTCTATTTCCCCCAAACTCCATCTGTGTTCATATTGGGGCGAATTGAGTGCTTGTGCCAAGTTTGGTCCAGCTCCATAATTGTTTGAGTCCACAGTGCTCTCTGGATGTAGGTGAACTACAACTCCCAAACTCAAGGTCAATGCCCACCAAACCCTTCCAGTATTTTCTGCTGGTCGTGGGAGTTTTGTGTGCCAAGTTTGGTTCAATTCCATCGTTGGTGGAGTTCAGAATGCTCTTTGATTGTAGGTGAACTATAAATCTCAGCAACTACAACTTCCAAATGACAAAAGCAATTTTTTGAGTGAAGGACATTGGGTTGTTAGTGTCCAAATTTGGTGTCAATTCCCCCAGTGGTTTTTGAGTTCTGTTAATAAACGAACATTACATTTTTATTTATATAGATTATTATTATATTTATTATTATTATTATTATTATCATTATTATTAGGTCTCCAGAAGTTCAAAATTAGGCTTCTGCTCAGAGCTTTCTTCAGGTTCCTGTCTGATTTTCTGTGTTTTCCCATGCTTTTTCTTCCA